AAAATGCACAGCAGATATTTTTCTGTTTTCAAAAGATATTTATTTAGCACCTAATAGGTACAAGGCAGTGGGCTTGTGCCCAGGAGAGAGGGGAATGATTGCCGACCTCTCAAAACAATCGAGCAGGGGCTGTAAGGTACGTTAGCAATAAGTGAAACACTTAAGAGTTGGTGACAAGGCTCCCCGGGGATGCGCAAGCAAAGGGAGGATCAGAGAATGCTTCCAAGGGGAGTGAGTAGAATGTATTCAGTGCCAGAGATGGGGAGGGAAGAATGTTCCAGGCGAAGGGGACAAGATGGGTCACTGTGCAAAGGCGGTAGAGGATGAATCAGCAAAGCTTTCCAATGTGTCATGGGATAGAGTGTGTGGAGAGGCGTGAGGAAGGTCAGGCTCAGATGACAGGGGCATCAGGATATGAGAGGGTGGGGAGGCCAAACCGGGGATGTGGATGTCACCTGGAGGCCAGCCATGAGTAGCAAAGAGGGTAAATCACTCATTGGATCGTCGATTCGGTCAACGGACGTTTCTTGGGCATCAGACACGGACCAGAGCTGTCCTGGTACCTTAGGATGCAAAGACCACATGTGGTCCCTCCTTCAGGAAGTTCAGTCAGCAGCAGTGTCCTCGTCAGTAAGCGGGGATATAGAGTACGGCCCTTGCCGTGTTACTATGAGGAGCTCGCGTAAAGTACTTAGGGCGGTGTCAGGTGTAAAAGGAAAACTCAGGAAAGGTTCGCTACTGTCATCATCCTTATCGCCGTTCTGAAAGGTGTGAAACGGAGGGCAGAGGCAGAGAAAGGGGTCAGCCGTCCATTGTGAACTTGGGGAGAGATGGAGTAGGGCAGCGGGGACAGGTTCAAAAGGGCTGTGGAGACAAGAGAAGGCAAGTGACAGAAGCAGTGACAAGGGCAGGGACAGCATGGCCTGGGAGCACTGCAGGGAGGGAAGCAGGGCTTGGAAGTCTCCTCCTCGGTCAAGTCCCTGCTCGGCTGCTGGTTCCTTGGCGGTGCAGGGTAGGGCAGGGCTGGGTGGCGGGTAGGCCGGAAGGTGGTATGTTGGGCCTCCTTCCTACTTGGCTAGGTGGCTCCCCTCTCACAGACTCATCTAGACTCTTCTCAGTGGCTTAAGTTGGCTCACCCTGCGGGAGAGGCTCCTCCCACTCTGCCACAAGTTGTGCTGCAGGATTTGGGGACCAGTCCAGTCCCCTTGGCTGGCCGTCCATCTGAGATCTGTGTGGTCCCCTCAGGATAATTGCTCCGGACAACTCGAACACCACTCAGACAGATTGCCCGGCCTCCCCGCCCCGACACCTCCCACCACTGCATCAAGCCAAATTACTTAGCACCCCCCAGCCCCGGGCTCCGGCGAAAATCCGATTAGTGAAGAGAGAGCCGCGCTGAGCTGACAGCTCCTCCGATAATTGCTTCCCAAGTAAGCGATGCAAATCAGCCCATCCAGCCTGTCCTGCTCCTCTCCGGGGGACCCCGGCGTCCAGGCCCCAGGAGAAGGAGAACACCTGAGTTGGAGAGACCTGGAAGCCGTCACCTGCCTTCGGTTAAGTGACCATCAATCCGTAAAGCTGGTCTGTGCTGCCTTGGGGCTGAGGTGTGGGTGGGGGGTGGTGAGGCTGGACCAGGAACCCCACTGGCTCTGCATTTCTGTCTTCTCTGGGAGCACGCCACTCTGCCCCTTATCTCACCCCTTGGAGAAGTAGCCTCTGTACCCATTTGCCAGTAAGGTAGAGGAAGGCAGAGCGATAGAAGACACGGGAACAGGGTGAACCTGTTAACAAAGCAATGGATGTGTCCACGGCCAGGCTTCCCCAGTTCTCCCATTCTGGGAGGGAGGGGAGAGCGGGACAAGAGAGCGTTCTCCCTTTGTGAGTCACCTCCCCACAAGGTTGGGGGAAAACACTGAACGTTAAGTCCCCACAGAGCTGGCATGGGCCTTCGATATGATCTATTTTTGGAGGACTGGGAAGCCTGGTCAACCTTGAGACTTTTGTGCCTGTACCAAGGAGGACATGTTTTTGGGATGTGGTGGCCCTTGCTCACCCCACACGTCAGGGAGTTCTCTCCCCTCCCTTATTCAAGGTCCTTTGAAGGGCCTGCTAATACCCTTTTTTTTTTAGTGCTTTTCCTTCCTACATCTTTACCTCAAGTTCTTTCTTTCTCTGACCCTCTCATCCAATTTCCTGATGATCTTCGAGAACTTCCCTTGCAATCCTGAACTTCCGGCCCCCACACCTAGCCCATATGGGTCACTGTCTCTGTGGAAATCTCCAGGGATGCATTGCCCAGTCTTGACCTCTGTGCTTGTGCGTCTGATGTGGCTCTGTGGCCTGGATCTTGGGTTGTCCGACTAGCATCTGCCTGAGACCCGGACACACAGTCGCAACAACAATAACTAACCTTTCTAGAGCACTATTCTGTGCTAGCCACGGTACTAAGCACCTATGTAATGAAGTCATTTTTTTTTTATTAAAAAAAATCTTTATTTATTTTTGAGAGACAGAGCGTGAGCAGGGGAGAAGCAGAGAGAGAGAGGGAGACACAGAATGTGAAGCAGGCTCCAGGCTCTGAGCCGTCAGCACACAGCCGGACGCGGGGCTCGAACTCACGAACTGTGAGATCATGACCCAAGCTGAAGTCAGACGCTCAACCGACCGAGCCACCCAGGCGCCCCTGTAATGAAGTCATTTAATTATCACCAAAGAAAAGATGGATTACAATGACTATCCGATTTTACAACTGAGCTAACTGAGGCACGGAGAAGCAGCTTGCCCAAGGTCAGTAAGTGGCAAAGCTGGGATCCAAATCCAGGCAGTCCTAGTCCTGAGACCACACTCTGAAGGCCTCTGCTATGCCACCTCTCCTCTCCAACGCTTTTTATTTTATTTTTGTTAAGTTTTATTTATTTTGAGAGAGAGGGGTAGGGGGAGAGGGGGGAGAGAGAATCCCAAGCAGGCTCTGCACCGTCAGTGCCAAGATGGCTGTGGGGTTCAAACTCAACAACCACAAGATCGTGACCTGAGCTGAAATCAAGAGTTGGATGCTTAACCGACTGAACCACCCAGGCACCCCTCCAAGGCTTTAAAAAAAAAAAAATGTTTATTGGGCTGAGAGAGGGAAACCCCCTAGTGTGGAGGAGCTGGAGGATATGGTTAGGCTGAAAGTCAAACACCAGAAGCCCGTTGAGGTCCCCTAGGGCAGAGGTGGCAGGAGTTACCAAGGGTGACATCTGGTACTTGGGGAGGGGGAAACGCGGCCCTCACCTCTTCCAATCCCTGATACCTATTTTCTACACTGGAGCCGCGCAGCTAGGAAACCCCCCTCTACTCTGGAAGCATGGAGGCAGGGGAAGAAGGGCTAAAAAATCCGCCTAGAAGCCAATGAGCGGAGAGTCAGAGCTAGGACCACCAGAAGCCGATAGATGGCGCTCGTGGCCCAACACAGCCTCGGCAGCTCCAGGAAACCAAAGGAAAACAAGCCCTCCCGTTAACCCCTTCCTGCCTGGGCTCTGGCCCCAGGAGCAGCCTGCTGGGCAGCAGAGGGCCCTGCCCCAAGCCTGGCTGGACCCTAAGGAGTGGCCCAACTCTCCAGGCTCTGTCCAGGCTACAGGTATGCTCCTGCTCCTGCCAGGTAAGTTCTAACCATAAATCACAATCGGCCAGGCTTTGGAGACTTCCCAGAGGGCCAGGAGACTAGGATACAGGCAAGACAGGTTGGCAGCCCCCACCCCAGCCCAAGTTTCATCTCTTAGGCTTTACCTTTTGAAAATCTCTCTGTCTCTGTTACTAAGCACCCCCACTTCAGGACAGTTCCTCACCTCCATCTTCCCTGAGAAGGACCCACCAGGTGGGGAAGAGTAGCATGGTCTAGAGACAGAGAAGGCTCCCGGAGCCCTGCGGGGTCAGCTACAAGAACTCACTGTGGGGTTGCCTGAGACTCAGTTTCTGCCTATGTTGGGACTCCCTATCTTTGGGCTCCTGGTGTAAATGGGCTTACAGGGACAGAAACAGTCCTCTAAGTCTTTCTGGAAGTTGACATTGGGAGTGGGGGTCCTGGGGGCATCTCTGTTTGCTTGTCACTCATTTTACTCATTACTTTCTTACCAGGAGTGGCCTTGGAATGTGGAGGGGACGCCATGATGATAAACTGGAAGCAGCTCGCAACCAAGTGGCAAAGGGATGGGGTGGGCAGGAGGGTTGCCCAAAGGATGGTGAGGCTCCTAGCATTTTTAAGCAATAAGATGACAACACAGTGTGGTTCCCCCACCCCGCCCCCATAATTTTGGTTCAGAGACATACAAACGCATAGATCTGTGAAGAGAGAGGAGCCTGACGGGGCAGTTGGTTCTAGAAGCTCAGGATACTCTTATTTCAGCCATTCCAGAGAAAGAAGCAGAGGCATGGGGATAGATGTACACAGAGGAAGACCGAGACACATAGATACAGAGAAAAAACCATCAAGAGAGTAGGGATAGAGAGACATTTACATAGGCAGAGAGAGGCAAGGACAAGCAGGGAAGGAATCTGACACAAGTGCCACCTCAGGGAATAACAGACTGTGAGGTGGATGATTAACTTTATTTGCAAAGTCTTGCAAAGGTGGGGTGGTTTTTCACCTTTGGTGTCAGAGGGTTGCTGCTCACAGTTCCCTGAAGCTCATGCCGCACCCAGTTAAGTTTTTGTCTGTTGGTAGGAGAGCAGGGGAGGGTTGGGAAGGGGGTGGCATCCTTGTTCTCGCTCCTTTTCCTGTCCTGGGGTTCACTGGTCTCCTTCTTTACCACCTGTAGGGGGACCTTGCTTCTTCTTGATCTCAGTCATGGCTGTGCTGAGGGGTGCAGGGGGTAGGGGGTGGGAGGGATTTAGAAGATAATTAGCCTTATGGGGCTTGCCGTGTAATGAAAATCTTAGAGTCAGGACACAGAAATATACCCAGGTGGGGGACAAGAACAAAATTAGGAACGGGACAGCTCTGGACATTGTTTTGGGTTGGGGAGGTGGGAGGGAATGGACTGTTAGGTGCAGCCATGGGATTAGGATTGGTCAGGGAAGGTGTCCTGGACAGAGTATTTGAGGGGAAGGATTTGGAAGGATGGGAGATTATAGGGCTGGGTAGACTGCACAGCAGAGGAGAGAGAGAAATCAAATGGGAAAGCCATGGAAACACAGGCTTGGGCAGTAATGGGAAATGGAAGTGTCTCAAAGCCACTACTAAAGAGTTGTCAGCAAAATAAATAAATAAATAAGAATAAAGTTGTTAGCAGATTCCAGAAGTGCCTCCTTGGATTTTCTAGATACTGTCCTTTGAGGGCTGCAAAGAAGAGATCTCTTATCCCTTGGGCAGCAGGAGGACTAGAAATGGCCTTTTTTCATTTAATACCCTCAGGTGAGCTTCGAGATTGGGGTATGGTTGAAGCTCCTTGATTCGCAGTCCTGTTGGGAAAAGTCTTGTCGATGAACTTTTGGAAGGGTGCTGCCCTTGAGGGCTAGCGGCCAGGACCTCTGAGATCTTTAATGAGCCTGGTCTCTCCTAAAGCCTTCTTGATTTTGCTCTGATGTAAGGAATAAACTACAACCCCCAGAGTCACTTAGGGCTAACTTAGCACGCCTTCCGGGGATTTGAGTATTTCCGGCGGAAGTTGCCGCCGCTACGCCAATCTCCTTCCCTAAGCAAAGTAGACTACAATTCCCTCTGTCCTCCGCGCCCGGGGGCGGGGAAGGGAACCGGAAACCGGATGGAGAGCTGAACCAGGTGAGGAAGTAGGGACCCGGGGACCTGGGGTGCTGGGGGGCCGGCTTGGGGCTCTCAGGGTTGCGAGGCGGTGTCGAGTGGGGAGTCAGAATGTGTGTGTTTGAGGGACCCTTGCTCCGTTTGGGGCTTGCCCCGGCGCAGGGGGAGTCGAGTCCACGGAACCTCCCTGAGGGCCTGCGGAGACGTGGCTTTCCCGTCGGGCGGAGCCCTAGGGCGGACGCGGAGGTTTCTTACGGACCCCTAGCTGGCGGCCCTCTCAGAACCAGTAGGAGGGATAAAGTGGTGTTTTTAAGTCCATGACCTACTACTGCTGCTATTCGTTTAAGGATTGCTGATTGTCCCTGTGGACTCCTTGGAGTGCCCCCAAGGGATAGGGGAGTGGATAGTGTCTAGAATTACTTCTTCCACTTCCTGGATTTAGTGTCAGAGAACCTGGATGGCCAGACATTGCTGGATCACCCTCCGCGGCCTTTGCACCTAATACGACGCTGTAATTTATAATGTATCGACGTTTCTTAAGTCTCTGGTTCTTGGTGACTTTGGATAGGACTTCCAAGTTCCACCTTTGGGTTCTCGTAGTGCTTTGTTTAGGACAATAAAGCTCAAGTCACAGTGTATGAAAATTGTTTTATCTGTTTCTGAGCGTGGCCTCCATTTTCTACACTTGATCTTAGCCAAAAGGCCGAGAAGCGATTCCATTTTCTTATTATTTATTATTTCTTCTTCAAGAGATGACCACAGTGCCTTTCATGAAGAGACTCATAAATATTGGAAAAAATAAATGAGTTAACAGCTTTTGATAGGTCGGATGGAATTTGTGATTTCATAGGGAGGAGAGTTAAATGGCTTGCGTAAGAGAAACTTAGAAAACTAGGGCTAGAAATTGATTCAGTTGACACTCAGACTGTGGTTCTTGTTATCAGATTAGGCTGTGAAGCTGGAATGCTGAAAACAAAGCCTTGTCACTCTTTTTCATACTCCTCAGCCTTGCTGTCCCCAGCACAGGTCTCTGAAGGTCAAAGGTAGGCTCAGTGGAAGAGGAGAGAGATCCCAGAGCTGGAACAGCCAGTCCACTAACATTGGCACTACATGAGGGGATGCCGAGCAGGGGCCCCTCGAGACATTTGAGTTCTCCACAGTTCCCTTCTGGGCTTTTGTTTGAGCCCAGTTGGCCCTGGTTAGCCATCTGCACAGAGCAGTTAAAGACTTCTGAGATCAGTCTGGGGAAAGATTGTCTAAGTTTGGCCCTGACTTTTTTTTCTCTTCTGCTCCCCTAGGCTGAGGTCAGAGAACAGATTGATGGATCAAGCTGTTCAGTCAACCCCTGAGGTCCCTTCTGGGAGAAGAGGTTGAGAGGGAGAAGAACCCTGACCCCTGCCCTATGGGAGGCCCAAACAGGTTGGAAACGTCCAGAGCCTGGCAAGCCCTCAGAAACAAGCAGAATGCCAAGTGGACAGTTGAACCTTGAGTGAAATCAGGCTGTAGAAATGGAGAGTTGCTCGGGAAAGACTCCGAGGTAGAAGGTAGTTTTAAACAGGATTGGAAAAGATGGAATGGACAGAGCTGAGCAGGTGTTTGTTGATTACCTAATAAAAGCTAGGATCTTGAAGGTATAGAGGGAAACTGAACAGGGCACCCTAGGAAGTTGGTTTAAAATACAGATTCCCAGGTCTCACACCAGACCTTCTCATGTGTGGGGTGGGACTGGGAAGCCACGGCAAATGCCACAGTGTCCTGAGGTGGGAAGGGACCAATGGGATCCCTGGAGCTGCATCTTGCAGGATGGGGCCCGATTTGGATGTGTGGAGAGGCAGAGGGGTCACAGTCCTGGTTGATTCAAAGAGTGTGTCTGGTCGGATTTGAAGAAATGGCGTGTGCAGAGTTTTGGGAGTTGGGGTAGGAAAGGCATTTTGAAAGCGTGAGTGGAACGGTCAGACTGGAACACTGGGTTTGTGGGGGAATTGTGAGAAGGAAGATTCGGAAGAATTGCCTTTGTAGGCTGTAGAACTTGCCGGAGTGCTCCCTCAGCCTCCTCACCCCCATCTTCCCCCTTTCTCCTCTGCTTCTCCACTTCCTCCCCCCCCCCCCCCCCCACATCCCTTATGTTACTTTTATTGAGTGGATATTATTATTCTTAGTATTTGGATGAGAAAACCTGAAGCTCTGGCCATGGTTACATGGTTGTAAGAGTCTATTCTGAGTCTGGTAATCATCCTACTCACCACTGAGAATTCTTGACTGTGGGCAAGAAGCTGGGCTGGGTTTGGGTGGGGCGGGGGTTGTTGGATGAGCAGGGTGGCTGACTGAACCGTCTCAGGCAAGATGAGATGGGTGGTTAAGAGCGTAGCCTTGAGCCAGACAGATTGGGTGCAGATTTCAGCTTCATTACTTGTTAACCGCATGACCCTGGGCCAGTTACTTGGTCTTACTAAGCCTCAGTCTTCTCACCTGTAACATGGGAGCAATAATAGTCCCCTCATGGGGTTGTTAGGGGGACCAATGAGGTGTACCTGGCACAGAGCAATTGCTCACCACCTGGAAGCGATTGTAATTAGCCTCCTGTAATTAGTCTCCGGGCTCTGGCTGTGCACCTGCATCTCATTCTTCAGCACATTGGTTTTCAGGACACAGCCCATCCTGGCTGCGCTTGTTTTATTAAGGGTGACATTAGAGGCGCTGGAAGTTTGCCACCAGTAAATATATGCTGAACACCTACCATGTGTCTGGAATGGCCTAGGAACTAGTGATTCAAGACCTATGCCTGATGGAAAGGAGGTTTGGAGTGGGGGACGATGGCTTAGTCTAACCAGGTAACATATGGAGAAGAAGTATACTTGAAGCGGGGGGAGGAAGGACCCATCACTACCAAGAACTGAGATGAACTCAGTCAACCCTAGGGGGTTGGGGGACGACTGACAGTCTCTTCTGAGCCCAGGAAAGGGCAGCCCTGGCCAGTCTGGATCCCTCTGACTCTAGGGCTGAGGGCTGATGAAGCTTCTGTTCATCTCTTTTCCAGGTGGCAGTGACATGGCTTTGCCCCAGGCTTATCCACTGGGGCCCCTCCATGAACCTGCGAGTGCCCTAATGGAGCCCCAGCCTTGCCCTCAAAACTTGGCTGAAGGCTTCCTGGAGGAGGAGCTTCGGCTCAGCTCTGAACTGAGCCAGCTGCGGTTCTCAGAGCCCGTGGGCATCATCTACAATCCTGTGGAGTATGCGTGGGAGCCACACCATAGCTATGTGACCCGCTACTGCCAGGGCCCCAAGGAAGTGCTATTCCTGGGCATGAACCCAGGACCCTTTGGCATGGCCCAGACTGGGGTAAAGGGCTTGGCTTCCCCTGGCGGGTGGAGTGGGAGGCTCCAGGGTGGATGTTTGGTCGTGTGTGCTGTGGGGGGAGGAGCGTGGGCCTGGCTGTGCACATGTGTGGGTGCGGGCCCCCTCGTCCCCTCCCAGGACACATGCTGGCTCCTGTGGTTTCAGACGCTCTCCTGGCCTTGCCGCCTGTAGTTAACCAAGCACATTAATGGTAGTTCCGTTTCCCCTGTGAGCTGTCCACTAATTGCCTCTGCGAGCCCTTCCTTCCGCCAGCTCCATCTAACCCTTACCTTGCCGGATCTCCTCTTTCCCTAGAGCATGGTTGGGGTCGGGAGAGGGACCAGGACTACTGGGTCCTCAGGGGAGACTGGTCGACAGGGGTGGGTATGGAGGAGACGCAGGGCATCCAGCCGGCCTGCTTCTGTTTCTTACCTGAGGAGAGATTGAAAACAGAGCTGGCTCTGGGGCTTGCCTGCTTTCCTTTCAGACCTCAGGATGAGTGAATGCCCCTCAGTGGGGGTGCTTGGCAGATGGGGGAGGGGAAGAGGCTTCAGGGCAGGAGGCTCAATCGCTTTTATTGACCCCAACTGGGGGATGAAAGGTGATCAATGATGATCGATGGAAATGACAACCTGAGGCTTGGGGCTGAGAGGGCGCCCAGAGAGCAGTGGTCAGTCCTGTCCTTGGGCCTCCTCTGCCCCTGGCCGCTTTCTGTCTCAGACCATCTGTCTGTCCCCAGTACTACCCATCATATCCTGTGTAGGACCAGATATTCCCATATAGTCTTTGCATGTGGTCCCAAAGGCAGGTGGGGATAGAAGCAAACAGACAGATTCTTCTGGATTGCAGTCCACAATGAGAAGTTGGAGAAAGATGAGCAGGATCAAACCTTAGGGCCAGAATTTTTGTCTCGAGCCTTTGGGTGAAGGGGTGGGGGTGGGGTGTCCAGACTGGGTCCTCATGCAGGGTGGAGAGGGGTCAGCTGACCCAGAACCCAGGCATCAGGTCTCCGGAATGAAACCCCCGTGTCTCTCTCCCTCCCGGCAGGTGCCCTTTGGGGAAGTGAACGTAGTCCGGGACTGGTTGGGCATCGGGGGGCATGTGTTGACCCCTCCCCAAGAGCACCCTAAGCGACCAGTGCTGGGACTGGAGTGCCCTCAGTCAGAGGTGAGCGGTGCCCGGTTCTGGGGCCTTTTCCGGAAACTGTGTGGACAGCCTGAAGTCTTCTTCCGTCACTGTTTTGTCCACAATCTGTGTCCTCTGCTCTTCCTGACCCCCAGTGGGCGCAACGTCACTCCCGCTGAGCTACCTGCCGAGCAGCGAGAACAGCTTCTTGGGGCCTGTGACGCGGCCCTCCGCCGGCAGGTGCAGCTGCTGGGGGTGCGGCTGGTGGTGGGAGTGGGGCGGCTGGCAGAGCAGCGGGCACGGCGGGCTCTGGCAGGCCTGATGCCTGTGGTCCGGGTGGAGGGGCTCCTGCACCCCTCACCTCGTAGCCCTCAAGCCAACAGGGGCTGGGAGGCTGTGGCCAAGGAGAGACTGAATGAGCTGGGGCTGCTGCCGCTGCTAATGAAATGAGTGCCTACGTGGCCCGGCACGGGACACGTTCAAGGTCCCCAAGTCATTCTGGGGCAAGCCATGTGCTTCCTGGACCGGAGCAACAGAGTCTTCCCGGGCTCCCTCCCTGGTTTCTGGGACCTGGCGTGGCAGTTTTGACACTACTCTGGCTTGCTGCTTCCTTCACCTTCCTTCCAGCACTGCCTCTGGTCATGTGGTAACCAACTCCACAGAGACCTGCCATCTGCAAACTGCTCTACCTCAGTGTTCCCTTGGGAGCCTCTGGTCAGCTGAGAGTGACTTCTGAGGTCGTGTTTGCTGTGTTAGAGAAAAGATCCTGCCAGGATCCCCACCCGTCCTCATAGAACAGCTTCCTTCAAGCTGAGCCTTTTCCTCACAGGGACCAGGACAAAGCGAGAGGCATGGATGTTAAGAGGAAACTTCCCCACGGGAGACTGAGGCTGGGTCAGAGAAAGAATTCAGTGTGGCAGAGTGGGGAAAGACCAGAAGACCCGGATTTTCATCTCGGCTTTGAGACTTTACGGCTTTGGGCAAATCAGCGAACCTCTCCAAGCCTCAGGATCCTCATCTGTAAAACGAGGATCCCTAACTCATGCGGTTGGTGTGGGGATTAAGTGAGGGAACACTTGAAAGTGGCTTGCGTAGTGCCAGGCAGGTGGGTGCTTGTTAATCTCGCTTTCTTGCCTCTTGGGTGGGGCATTGCTATATCACACTACAGCGGGAGCTCCCGCGCTCTGTAGACCTTCCTGGGTGAGGGGCAGATTCTTGCCCTGCCAGAGATGGACCAGTCACTTCATGAAACCCCCAGCCTGTGATTTTTAGTCTAAGCATGAAAAGTTCCTAAACCCTTTTGTGTGGTCCTTTTTTTTTTTTTTTTCCTTCCTGCATATGAGTCCGAAGTGGTGGTTTAGATTTTCCCTTCTCTTACCTCTTCACTGTTTGCAAAGGGTTCTCATGGGTATCTGGGAAGAGATGTAAACAGGTCTCTGATTGCCTTACCAGAGCTTAAGGGTCTCTGTCAGGGGTTCGTCTGCTACTCAGGGCCCCGGGGGAGCAGGCAGTGAGTGGGCGGATGGGAGCACGGTATCTCCACTTAACTCATCTCTTCTGTCTGCTGGCTGGCATGCCCCTTTAGGAGGACTGGGAAGGTGAATCAGTTTGGGAATAGGATGGGTCTTGAGGCCATCTTAATGACGACACACTGGTCGGACTCCCATCTCCTGGGACAGGGCATCTCCGGCTTTCAAAATTAATAAGATTTTTACTATAGGGGAACCTGGCTGGCTCGGTCAGAGGACCATGTGACTCATGATCTCGGGGTTGTGAGTTGGAGTCCCATGTGAGGTGTAGAGATTACTGAAAAAACATACATATAAAATAAACTTTAAGAAACGTGAGGTTTTTGTATAATAAAGACTTTTTTTTTTTTGGTATAATAAAGAATTTGGCTGTTGTCCTTGGGTCTTGGGAGGGAGTCTCTCAGTCCTTGGAATTTCCCAAGTAATAGGAGTGTCTTTGTTATTCATGGAGTGCCCCTCAACCACACCAGAGGCTATGCGGAAATTGACTCTGGATGAGGGCTGACTGTGCCAGAAAGGCCAACCATTTGATTAGAGGGTTGGGGCTATGAGCTAGGTGATACCAGCCTGCCCTGGGTCGGGGGAGGTTGGAGTGAGGGCTGGAGATTGAATTTAACCAAATGGTCTATGATTTCGATTGATAGTATCTCCGGAAGGGCGCCTGGGTGGCTCAGTGGGTTGAGCATCCGACTTCGGCTCAGGTCATGATCTCACAGCTCGTGAGGTCAAGCCCCACGTTGGGCTCTGTGCTGACAGCTCGGAGCCTGGAGCCTGGAGCCTGCTTCGGATTCTGTGTCTCCGTCTGTCTCTGCCCGTAACCTACTCGCATTGTCTCTGTCTCTCTCAAAAATAAATAAACATTATGGGGCGCCTGGGTGGCTCAGTCGGTTAAGCGTCCAACTTCAGCTCAGGTCACGATCTCGCGGTCCGTGAGTTCGAGCCCCGCGTCGGGCTCTGGGTTGATGGCTCAGAGCCTGGAGCCTGCTTCCGATTCTGTGTCTCCCTCTCTGCCCCTCCCCCATTCATGCTCGCTCTCTCAAAAATAAACGTTAAAAAAAAAATTAAAAAAATAAATAAACATTAAAAAAAAAAAGATAATACCTATGTAATGAGACCCTAAGGAAAACTCAGGACACAGGTTTTGGTGAGCTCCCTGGCTGGTGAACACACGGATGCAACAGCAGGGTGATGTGTCCTGATTCTGTGGGGAAAGTACATAGAAGCTGTGTTTGTGACTCACTCAGACCTTGCCTTATATATCTGTTCACTTGGCTGGTCCTAATTCGTATCCTGAATAATAAAACTTGTTATAAGCAAGTGCTTTCCCGAGTTCTGTGAGTCATTCTAATGAATTATTTGAACCTGAGGGGGTCATGGGAACCCCTGAATTTGTAGCCAGTTAGAAGTGTACTTTTTTTTTTTTTTAAATGTTTATTTGTGAGAGCCAGCGGGGGCGGGGGGCAGAGAGAGGGGGACAGAGGATCCAAAGTGCGCTCCGCACTGACCACAGTGAGCCCGATGCGGGGCTCGAACTTGAGAACCGTGAGACCAGGACCTGAGCTGAAGTCTGACACTTAACCGATTGAGCCACCCAGACACCCCTAGAAGTGTACTGACCTGTGGCCTGGAAGTACAGGTCTCCTGGGGACCCCTGAACTTACAGCTGGCATCTGAAGTGAGGGCGGTCTTGCTGGGGACTTGGCCTTAAACCTGTGGAGTATGTGCTCCCTCTGGGTAGTTAGCATCAGAATTGCATTGCACTTTTGCACCCCCTCATGCCTCTGACTCCTTTCCTCCGGGCTATCAGTGCCGAGTAGTTACTGTCACATGTGGCAGAGCACTAGATTAGACACGGAAATAAGCGCACAGAGATTGTTCCCTTATGTGTGTAGCTGAGGTAGTCAGAGAAAGCCTTCTGGAGGAGGTGGCACGTCACGTGGCCCGAGAGACTGGGAGTTTCAGAGAGCATCGTTATGTTCAAGGGGTAGCAGGTAGATCAGCGCGGACTTGGCCAGGTTGGGAGAAGAAGCTGGAGAGGTAAACTGAAGCCATCTTGTGAAGGGTCTCGAATGCTAGACTCATCTTTGAGTATTTGAAGTCCAGTGCGGAAAGACATGCACAGAACACTCACATTTAAAAATATCCAATAGGGGCGCCCTCGTGGCTCAGTCGGTTAAGCGTCCGTCTCTTGATTTCAGCTCAGGTCATGATCTCACAGTTTGTGAGTTCGAGCCGCCCTCCTCGGGTTCTGTGCTGACCGTGAGGAGCCTACTTGGGATCCTCTCTCTACCCCTCGTCTTTCTGCCCCTCTCCCACTCGTTCTTTCTCCTCCCTGCCAAAAAGTAAAAAAAAAGTTAAAAATCCCCAACAGATAGGGATGAAGGGACAGGCCCTGTATAGGAGGCAGTGTCGGTGCAATGGGGTCAGAAAGGGAAAGGGGAGGGGGATTATAGGGAAGGTGTCCTCGTGGGACAGCAGAGGCTAGGTGGAAGTCTAGAATAGCAATGGGAATCATGAAATGGGGTAGGGGTGGGCAGTGTGTAGGGACACTAGAACAGTAATGACCAGGATGATGGCTTGAAGACAGATGTGGCAGAGTCACTGCTGGATCTGCCTTCTAGTAGGGCTGCTGTTCCTCGATTCTTGGGCACATCTTGTCAGCAAGAGACTGATTAGGGACCTGGGCCTACTTTTCCTAAGGACACTGTATCAGTTGGCCAGGGCTGCCATCACAAAAATACCACAGCCTGGGTAGCTTAAACAACACATTTATTTTCTCACCGTTCTCGAGGCTTGGAGTCCAAGCTGCCAATGGCAGCGGGTTTGTTTTCTCCCGAGGCCTCTCTCCTTGGCTTGCAGACGGCTGCCTTCTCACTGCGTCCTCCCGTGGCCTTTTCTCTGTGTGTGTGTATGCCTCCTGGTATCTCTTTTCTTCTATTCCACCAGTATATTGGATTAGGGTTTTACCCTTAGGATCTCACATAACCTCAATTACCTCTTCAAAGGCCCTTTCTCCAAATCCGGTCATGTTAGGAGTTCTGTTTTTAACACGTGAATTTGAGGGGCATGGGAGACACAATTTGGCCCATAACAGGCATCTAAAGTCATGTCCCTGCTTTTCCTGTCCCCTACCAATATCAACCTCTAACAAAAGAGGATACTCACCAATGCCTTCCTCCAGTCTGGGGTAGAGTGGTGTAGTGGCTTAGCTACCCAATAGGGCTGAATCTATCAGACCAGCCCCTACTCCCTCAATTCATTCTAGAGTAGTTTTTTCAGTGCAAATCAGAGTGTCCTTAGGGAGCAGAAGCTACTGGGCCAAAGGGAAGGGAGACTGGAGCAGCTACACAACAATATTATGAGAAGTATTTTAAAAAAATTTTAACATTGATTTATTATTGAGAGAGCATGAGCATGGGAGGGGCAGAGAGAGGGGGAGACACAGAATCCGAAGCAGGCTCCAGGCTCTGAGCTGTCAGCACAGAGCCCGACGTGGGGCTCGAACTCACTGTGAGATCATGACCTGAGCCAAAGTCAGAGTCAACCAACTGAGCCACCCAGGGGCCCCTTGTGAGAAGTATTTAAAAGCCACATTGAAGTGATTTGGGATCATCTAGAGTTTGGGCTGATACAGTAGCCACTAGCCACGTGTGGCTGTTTACGTCAATGAAGTAAAATTAAAAATTCAGTTTCTCCATCACTAGCCATGTTTCAGGTGCTCAACAGCCACACATACACCACAGATATGGAATATCTCATCATTTCAGACGGTTCTGGATAGCGGTGATCAAGAGATCAGTAGCGTGGTGCACAAGAGTGGCTCGGTTGGTTAAGCGTCCGACTCTTGATTTGGGCTGTCAGTTTGTGGGATCAAGTCCCGCATGGGCTCTGCGCTGACAGCACGGAGCCTGCTTGGGATTCTGTCTCTCCCTCTCTTGCTGTCCCTTCCTGGCTCATGCTCTCTCTCAAAAATAAATAAATTTTTTAAAAATTAAAAAAGATTCTCCCTCAGCTCTGCTCCCGTTCTCTCTCTCTCATTAAAAAAAAAAAAAAAAAAAAAAAAATCAGTCACTTACAACCCTGCCTGTGAATCAGAATTCACCTGTGGAGGTTTAAAAAAGGCCCAGGTCTGAGCTACACTTTAAGAGCTTTCGATTTGAGAGGTCTGCAGTGCAGCCTGGAATCTGTTTTTCTCTTTGTGCTACAGATGTGCGGCCAAGGTTAAGGCAGGATTGTACTAGGTGCCCTGAAGGCAAGGAGAGGGTCTCTTATATTCCCTACCCCAGTAGGTAACCCAACACCAGGCACAAAATGGGTGTTCAGGACAAATATGCAAGTAATGTGCAAATGTGGCTTTGGAGATCCACCCCCAAGGTGCCCATCCAAGTAACGTGTGTCCCCAGAGTTTGTTGCTTTTGCCCAGTGACGGTGACTGAAATTCTGGTTCAGAGGAGTGATGGAGGCTTAGAAGTCCCATTCCAACACATGCACATGCATACGCACACTCGCTGGTAGAGGCCGAGCTGTGCTTGGGGTCGCGGTGCTTCTGAGACTGAAGGATGGAGCGTGTTGAGGAAGAAAAAGACTCTTCCTACTGTTTTTATTGGTATTTTTTTTTCTTACTGAAACAGGATAGTGTAAAGGAAGATTGAGTCTTGCGTTTGACTGCTGTGTGATCCTTCACTTTTGTTTCTTAATTTGTCAAGCATTTATTAACTCGTCTGCTGTGTGCCATTCCCCGTGCTAGTCACGGGGTGATATCACGGGGAGTGATAGAGGTGAATTACATGATTCTTTGCTGCCACGTTGCTCACGGTCCGGTGCTGGGAGATACAGGCATATAATTATAGTATCAATCAATGCGAAAACG